AAGTGACACAATTTGCAAAGGTGTTTACAGACATTCTTTCTTTATTAAGAGAGTTAAAAAAAAGTGGTAAGTACCTTATTGGTAGTTCAATTTTTTTTGCAACAACAATGTTTGAAAGGCTGTTGTTGTTTTTTTTATGTAAATTTTTTTATAAATTTTAAAATTAGGCTATTCATTGATTTATTTACAGAATAAAAACAATTAAAAGAAATGTTAAATATCCTACGGGGTTATTTTTAATAAATAAAAAACTTTAACTAGAAAAATAAAATGACTTTTAATAAACTTTTATGTTTAAGAACTTTTACTTTGAAAACATCATACTTTGAACTGGTTCGAGTCAAAATTTAGTAAAAAATTACTATTATCTCTTTAATCTTCTTATCTCTTTTACTACATAACAAGCTTTGTTACATATTCATTTTATGTGTTTTCACAAACTTTAAGTTCTTACTTTTAGTAACCTCAAGTAGTTTCAATTTATCTGAGATTTATCCTTTTTTTATTATAATAGGAATCTTTTAAAGTCTCCTTCCTGTCTTTAAAAATTTGTTGTTTTAAACTGTTTATAATTTTGTTTGATACATTAAATGAGTTTTAACATTCAATTTTGACAATAATTGACAGATCAAAACCTTAAAACTTTTTTAAGGAGATTTATTATTATCTTTCCTTCGGTGACAAATCATGAATATAATGATTATAAAAAATTGCGAAACTTTTGAATGACTCTTTACAGCAGTAATAAAAGCAAAACATGTTTTACAGTTTTGTAATGTTTTTAAGTGTTTTTTAATATGTTTTTTTTTTACAAAAAACTTATTAAAACAAAACTTAAAAACATGAGATTTGTTCGTTGGAAAAATACCGACTAAAGTTTGCAGTAGTGTTTGCAAAGCCGTATTTAAAATGAGATAACTCGGTAATGGGAGGAACAGGTTCGTTATAGATGAGTTGTTTCATCATTATGATGTTTTAAGCGGTACAGCAAATTCTATCAATAATTATTTAGCAAAAGTTTTTCAAATTTTGCCAAGTTGATTACCGGACTTGTTTACTCTACCGATCAGTTAAATTCCCAAAAAGCAAACAATTAAAATTTAATCATAAAAATACGCTGGATTAATCACAATCACGCAATTGATTAAACTACATAATAGAAAACGTAAACAATACAATAAAAAAATAATTTTTACAAAATTAAGTAACAAAAAACAACAATATGCTAAATTTTGTCAACAGAAAGATTTTCTAGCGGTGTCTGTTTTCATATTTGAAAAGTTTGCACGCTATGCTTTTATTATTATTATTCCTCGCGTATTATCTCATGTACATGAAGAACGATTAAAAAATCATTAGAACTGAAGGAATAACTGTTCATTTTTTTAATATTCCTTGTTCAACATTAACTATTAGTTGATTTATTAGTTGATTTGTAGAAAGTTTTTAAAAAAACAAACTTTTGATAAAATCTTTATGCTTAAAATTTTTTTACATATTTTACATAAAATCTCAGTAAAACTTACAAGCTGCTGCTGGATTAAGGTAGGGCTTACTACTGCTGGATTAAGGTAAGGCCTACTACTTCTGGATTAAGGTAGGACCTACTACTGCTGGATTAAGGTAGGGCCTACTACTACTGGATTAAAGTAGGGCCTACTACTGCTGGATTAAGGTAGAGACTAGAGATTCTAGAGCCCTGAGTTCCGCAGTTTTGGATCCCAATTTAAAATAATATATATTTAAAAGGAATTCTGAAAACAAAATTTTTGATTAATGACATAAAAAGGTACCTCCTACTTTAAAATACCCCAGGCCCTAAAAAGCTTTAAGCCACCCCTAGTTGCTGCTTTTTCTCTATTAATTTAACGTATTTATTTAGCATTTAAAAAAATTTATTAGAAATTTCATTATTAAATAGAACTTTGAAATGCATTCAAAAATAAATAAAGGCAAGTTCTCGTCAGTGCAGCGGCTAGTGAGCTGAAGCCCCCACCCCCAAAACCTATAATTCGGCCCCCAAAACCTTAAAAATTCTCCATTAGTACTAACAAAACAAAAAAATCCTCAAATTTGCAAAATAGCACCTAAATTTGCAAATAGGTCCCCTAAATTCGATTTTGACATTCAATTTTTATAAAAAAAAGTCTCGATGGTACTAAAAAAATTAAACATATAAGTAAATAAATAAAAACTATAGTTTTTAGTGAGTTTTATTTGCTATTAAAAAAAAAAAAAAAAACATAAATCACAAATCAGATATTTTTAATTTAAATTTTAAATTAAATTTTAAATTAAAATTTAAATTAATGGAGTTAAATAATCATCAATGCGTGACATCAAAAATTTTACCACTTTTTTCTTCATAATCATGTATTATTTTTCAATAATCATGTATTAGCAAGTTATTTAAGAATTCCGAATAATAAATTTTATTAGAAATTTTATTTAACATTTTATACAAGAGTTCGGCTCCATTTTTACGGTTTTGATATAACTCTGGTAAATGACTTTAAAGTTTGAACGCATTCTCAAAATTTTTACTCGTTGAGTGTATTTACTTGGCTAAGAGAGTAGCTTATTTATTGATATCAAGGAAAAACAATAAGTCTTTTGTATATAGCCTGAGCAAGAATTAAAAATATAAAATCATTTTTGTTTACAGACTCAAAGTGTAACAGGCAGACTTAAAACGTAATTAGCAGGCTTCAAACATCACTGAAGTTAAACATGTTTAAATTTTCAGAAGTTAAATGCAATGTATTATTCCCCACCCCAATCCCCAACCCCCCGAAAATTTGTTTTTTTAGTTTTCAAGCTCATAAGTAAAACAAAATAAACTTCTAGAGCACGAAGCCTAATAAATCTATTTTTTTAGATGTAGTAAGAATTATGTGAATATGATATTGAATTCTTGATCTAATTCAATATCATATTTTCATAGTTTTTATTTCATAAGGTAAAAATAATTGGACTTATATCATATTTTCATAGTTTTTGTTTTATAAGGTAAAAATAATTGGACAGTCCAATTATTTTTACCTTATGAAACAAAAACTATGAAAATATGATATAAGTCCGAATTGGACTTATATCATTATAGTAAGCTCATTAATCTCATGTACGACTCTGATACAAAAAAACATTAATTTAAATTTTAAAAAAATCATGAATAAAATAAAAATAAAATAAAAAATATCTATTTAACGAGGGCTCATTTAACTTTTAAATAAATAAATATCTAAAACTTATGTGTTTGTCATTTCAAAAAAATATATAATAGAAAAATGCGATTAAAAAAATAGAGAGAGTTTAAAGTTTTCTTAACGCTTCTTATGTGTTTTTAGTAAATAATTTTGTCTCAAAATCTTAGTGCTCAGTTAGATTTAATCTGAAACACTTAAGTACGACGTTTGCCAACATATCTGGCGCTAACTCTTCCGTAGATTTAAGAAAAAACATTTGATTGAATATATACTTTATAGTTAGCAGGAAAAAATCGCAAGAAAAATAAATAAATGGTGGTCTTGAAAAAAACATGATCGATAGGAATAAATTCCGCGTGCCATAATTTTTTAAACTAAATTTAATTAATTAACTTATTAGTTTCAGTTTAAATTTTATTTTATGTTTATTTATATTTAGTTATTTATCATATATATATATATATATATATATATATATATATATATATATATATATATATATATATATATATATATATATATATATATATATATATATATATATATATATATATATATATATATATATATATATATATATATATATATATATATATATATATATTAAACTGAACTTAAACAAACTGAAAATATGATTATAATTTATCAGAATTTATAGGTTCAAGTGAGCCAAATTTAAAGGTCAAATAGTTTTAGTATGGTGTGTATATAATCTTAATTACTGGATGCATGAGTTGAAAAATATATGATAAGTTAAAATCCATTGGACGATGATGCACTTCAAATAAGCTTCATAATAATAAAAAATTAGTTATAGCTCAATTGAGTAAATATAATTAAAAAGTTATAAATAAATATATATAATTGTTTTTTGAGGTTATAAAAGCAATGGTGATTAGTTAAAAAAAAAAAAATTGAAAAACTTTTTTTTTTTTTTTTGCATTTGTTAGATTTCAGTCGCATTTGATTTTTCTATCAATTTCTTATTAAAATACTAAATTACTTAAGGTGATGATAAAAGAATGGAGAAATCAAATAAAAAAACTTTAATTTGTTTTGGCACAGACATTCTATGTGAACATAGGCCATTTATCAAAATAGATATAAAATGCAAACAAACAATATAATTAAAACGTCCTGATTTGGAGCACATTTTAATCATCATTCTTTGTTTTTTCATCTTTGCGCAAAAAATAGTTTATTCCAATAATGTTGCCATTTTATATCCTAATATATATGAAATCATTGTTTATTTGTTTCTGTTTTCAAAACAAAAACTACTTGAATTCAAATTATATAATAAATTTTTCAAATTTATTATATAGGCCTAACACAATTAAAAACAAACTACACATAACATTCCAGAATATTTTAATGGTGTCTAAATGTCTAAAATGGTGCAATCAATAAAAATGGTGAAAACAATAATGGTGCAACCTTATAAAAATGTCTAAAATGGTGCAAACAATAAAGAAACCTTATAAAAAATGACTTGCCTACCACTTATAAATTACGTAAAGTCTTTATTTTTGTTTTACAGTGGTTTGGTTATTTACCTAATTATTCGATTAATTGTTCTTTTAATAATAAATTTAAGAGCACTTAAATAAAAAGCAACTTATGATAATAAAGTTGATGTCATTGATGTCAAACGTTGGTTCCAAATGAATATATTGTATGCAAAAGTAACTTCAAACAACCAAAAAACGTTTATAAGTATTTACACAATTAATTTTATGCGCCGACAAACTCTCTAGTGAACGTTCTTTGTTTTAAATGAGTTATCTTTGCGATTTGCGAGATTTATATTTTATCAAACGATAAGTTTAATCCATTTACAGTGTTTCATATTCTTTTTAACGAGCTAATAGCTAAGAGTGCAGTGTGGCTTAATATGAAAATTATTCCCATTTTTTAATTTTAAAGAATAAAAAAAAGTGCAAAGATGTTTTTAAAGACATTGGGTAGCAATTGATGGGTGCAAAGATGTTTTTAAAGACATTGGGTAGTAATATTAAATTAACATAATATTAAATTAAAATCAACATACGTAAAACCGGCATAAAAAACGAACAAAAACAAGGTAAGTTCTTGATTCAAAAAAAATTGTGGAATGTGTTATTGTGAAATATAAAACATTTTATAAAAATAACTACGAAATTTATGTGCCAAACTTTGTTAGGCGGTATTATTAACTATTATTAACCATAAGACTTAAGTTTAAAACAATATAAAAGTATATTCGTAAAAATTTCAAATAATAGAAACGTACGTGTCTAAATAAAAAGTTTGATTGTCTTATTTTAACCAATTAATTATTCTTTAAACGATGGTTGCGTCTAAGCTGGCCGTTTAGTATAAAGATTATTTCTTTTCGGGTTACTTATTTAGCGTGATTTTCCTGTGGTCACAACCAGGACTTTGCAGCTGAGGTCAAAAAATTAGATCCAGCCTTAGGTTCCGGCTCCATTAAAATTTTTAGCTCCAGCTCCGTCTCCAGAGCAGCTTCGGAACGGTTCCAAAATCAGAATAATAAAATATTTGATAAACTATCAGGTTTTGGTGATTATATCAAAGGAATTTTGCTTTTGAAGTTTTTAAGGAAATTAATGAATATCCAAAAAGGATACTCTGTATCCTTTTTAGGTATTCATCAATTCCCTCAAAAGCTGATTTCACTTTTAAACGTTCTTTTTTCTTCCGGTCGTGACAGTCGTCAATGAAATTTGTATTAAATGTATTTTTATTTAAAATAATAATTTTGGTCACACTTCTCAATTTTTCTTTTTCATTAAGTTCCTTCTCAAACTTTTCTAACAATATTCTACAACTAGCATCAACATAAACTGCGGCTAGAAATATATTATGAATTTTATAGGTACCGGACTTTTGCCAAAAGATGAGTAGTGTTTTTTTCTTTTAAAGCATTACAAGTAGCTAGCTGCAAAGTTTGACCAAGTGTTCTTCATCCTAGGTAGCTTTATCTAGAAAATTTTTATCATCAATTTTAATTTAAAAGTGTGATTGTCTCTAATGTTTTAAAGTATGCAGCAACATAAACTACATGACATATTAAAAAAGACGCTTACATTTTTTGAATGTATACGAAAACAACTTTATATACATCAGCTCAAGTATAATTTATAAAACATTAAGTTATTAAGTGTCTCAAGGTGAGCATCACTAAGTGCCTCAAGGTGAGCATCACTAAGTACCTCAAGATGAGCATCACTAAGCGCCTCAAGGTGAGCATCACTAAGTGCCTCAAGGTGAGATCACTAAGTGCCTCAAGGTGAGTATTACTAAGTGCCTCAAGGTGAGCATCACTAAGCGCCTCAAGGTGAGCATCACTAAGTGCCTCAAGGTGAGATCACTAAGTGCCTCAAGGTGAGTATTACTAAGTGCCTCAAGGTGAGCATCACTATGTGCCTCAAGGTGAGCATCACTAAGTACCTCAAGATGAGCATCACTAAGCGCCTCAAGGTGAGCATCACTAAGTGCCTCAAGGTGAGATCACTAAGTGCCTCAAGGTGAGTATCACTAAGTGCCTCAAGGTGAGCATCACTAAGCGCCTCAAGGTGAGCATCACTAAGTGCCTCAAGGTGAGCATCACTAAGTACCTCAAGATGAGCATCACTAAGTGCCTCAAGGTGAGCATCAAATACTTAACACTCTATCAAATCTCACAAAATCAATATCAATGTATAAAATGCTTTATTTAGAAATAGTTAAAAAAAAAAAGTAAACTTAAAATGACATTATTAATTACAGGTTAATTAAAAAAAAGTTTCATATAAAAGATATTTTTATAGTACTAGGAATTCTTTTAACAATAAATACTCACACTTTGATTTTCCAAATTATCAAAGAGAGGAGCTAGCTAGGAGCTACCTAGAAATATTTTAGCTCCAGTTCCGGCTCAGCTCTTTGTAAAAACACCAGCTCCAAGTAGCTCTGGCTCCAGCTCCGGAGCTGTTCCAAAGATCTGGTCACAGCAAAAATGGATGAGGATTTTTGTAAATTGTCAAAACCTAGTGAACCTCTAATATATTTTTTGATAAACATATATATATGATTTGACCGTACTCATGATGGTTGTTCCATGTTTAAAGGTGAGTTTCCACTCAAAGAAAAAAATTATCACGTGAGCATGCGTAATAAGAAATTTTAATTGTCCGAAAGAAAACTGTGCATGCTCACGTGATTATTTTTCCGTTCCCTTTCCCTTTTCCCGTAGAAAAACGGATGAGTGGAAACTCACCTTAAAGGTTTCTTCAACATCTAACATCAAATATTAACATCAAAAAAAGCATCCGTGTCCCTGAAATGTAACATAATGTAAAACAATATATCCTAATAGTAGCTAAACATCTCAAACTAATATCTGAAAATCTTAAAAATAATAAATTCCACCTTTAATGAAAATGTGTTTAAACTATGTGTTTTACATAGTTGTTTTGCTTATATTAGTAATATAAGCAAAACAACTATGTAAAACACATTTTTCCAATATCTTATATTATTTTTATAATAATGTTATTACTTTTTACCGATTTTTTTTTATTATATTGCTTTTGAAAGCAAATTTCAAAAGCACTTTAAAATGAGTTATTTGCGTTATGTGCATAAATGTTAAATTCTACATAAAGCTCTACCCTCTTTAAATTTTTAGGTGAAATTTCCGAAAATATCCAGAAAAAATTACTAAACATAAAACAGCATTTTTTTTAAATGGTACTGTAAGTTAAAAAAAAAAAAGTTGAAAAAGTATATCTCCAACAAAATTATGCCTGCAAAAATTAACAAAAGAACTCATTGCAAATTTTACAATAACAAAAAGTATAAATTTTTAGAATAAATGAATTTGTTTTTGTAAATTTTATCAACAAAGCTTTATTTTTATAGATTTTGTATGGGAAGTTGACTTGTTTTGTAGTTGTGATAATAAAAATGCTTTCTAAACTGTTAACTCTCTACTAATTCTTTATTAAATTGCATAAAACTAAATTTTATGTACAATGGTGCTATACTGTTATATAACTCTATATTTGATCTAAAATTAATTTAAAGGAAGAGCAACAACCATTTATTGAAGAATGTCTCCCAAAAATAAAGCTAGAGTTTTCATATTTGTGGATGAATTATCAAGCTCGAAAAAGAAAATATTTCAAAAAAAATCAAACAAAAATGCCAATAGAAATGACAAAGAAAACAAAAAAAGAAATTGAAGAACAGCCAAAAGAAGAAAAACTTAAATGGGCACAAAACTTACTCAGAAAATTAAAAAAAGACATTAAGCCAGAATCTAGGTATATATAGCTCAAAATTTGATTTAACTTAAAGAACAAAACTAATGTAAAGCTTATTTTAGTTCATTCAATATATATATATATATATATATATATATATATATATATATATATATATATATATATATATATATATATATATATATATATATATATATATATATATATATATATATGTATATATATATATATATATATTTATATATATATATATATATATATATATATATATATATATATATATATATATATATTTATATATATATATATATATATATATATATATATATATATATATATATATATATATATATATATATATATATATATATATTAGTAACTGGTGGTAAAAAATAAAAACTAGATAAGTGTTTTTTTAAACTAGTGTATTACTGTTTTGTTCTTTAAGATTATTTTTTTGTTGAAAACGTCAACACAATTTATGTATACAGATGTATATGTATGTATATATATATATATATATATATATATATATATATATATATATATATATATATATATATATATATATATATATATATATATATATATATATATATATATATATATATATATACAATATATATATATATATATATATTTATATATATATATATATATGTATATGTATATATATATATAATATATATATATATATATATATATATATATATATATATACAATATATATATATATATATATACAATATATATATATATATGTATATGTATGTATATATATGTAATACTATATATACAATATATATGTAATAATATATATACAATATATACATATATATATATATATATACATATATATATATATATATATATATATATATATATATATATATATATATATATATATATATATATATATATATATAATATATGTATATGTATGTATATATATATATATATATATATATATATATATATATATATATATATATATATATATATATATATATATATATATATATATATATATATATATATATATATACAATTTATATATATATATGTATATATATATATATATATATATATATATATATATATATATATGTATGTATATGTAATACATATATATATATATATATATATATATATGTATATATATATATATATATATATGTATGTATATATATATATATATATATATATATATATATATATATATATATATATATATATATATATATATATATGTATATATATATATACAATTTATATATATATATATATATATATGTATATATATATATATATATATATATATATAATACATATATATATATATGTGTGTGTGTGTGTGTGTGTGTGTAATGTACATATATATAATATATATAATTTCAATTTTAGGGATGAGTTCGTTAAAGCTGTAAAAGGAATTAAACACACAAATTGTGTCTTAACAAATCCTGATCAAAAAGGTAAAATGAGAAGAATTGATTGCTTACGACAAGCTGATAAAGTTTGGAGGTGAAAAATTGTGTTTATATCTTATGTATATATATTTTGAATATTAGTATTCTTGAAATAATAATGTAAAATAATTTATTTAAATGATCAATGGCTGTTTTAAGTGACATAGCTCAAGACTTTTTTATTCATTTAGAAAACATGGTTTTGAAATAATGAATTGAATATATGATAAAAGTTTTTATCACAAACAGTAACATATTATTTTAAGTTTTTAGTTTTATTATACAATCAAAATATTTGTTTATTTTTGTGAGATTTCTGTTTAATTCTCATTAATTTTGTACATAGTATTGCAAATTGAGTTTGATGTGTCACTATTATTTTTAATATGAATTTTTTTCTTTTTAAAAAAAAATTTTTTTCTTTTTTAAAAAAAGAATTTTGAAAATTATCATTTTAAGAACTATGAACTAAAAACTTTACCAGCATATGGTTACTATAGTCATTTTGCATTTAATGATAAAGCACAAATAATGAAAGAAATCAGATTATGCAATGTCAATTCTTTTTTAGCAAAACTTATTTTCAGATAAATGTTGGAATTACAGCAAAATTCTTAGAGTTTTTTTTGCAAAATTTAAAACTATAAGCAATTCCATTGCTTAAAGTTTTAAATTTTGAAATACAAACTTTAAAATTTCCTTCTTTTATTTGTTAATTTGTATTTTTTGACATTGTGAATGTTTTCAGAGTTGTTAAAACTTCTTTTGCATACTTGTATCTGGAAGCTGAAATACTTTAGCTTAGTATTGTACATTGGTAAATTGATAAATTGAAACTGGCAAATGATAAGTCAATAGCTGTCCATAAGTTTTTATTTTGAAAAACTTTTTTACATTTGTAATTTGCTAAATCTATTATCAGGCAAAATTACTGCAATTGAGTGAATTAAAAAATTGTTGGAAGCTTAATAAGCCACAAATGTCCACAAAAAGACGTTGTTTATACATATTGGTTGAAATTGATGGTATATACCCCTACATATTGGTTGAAATTGATGGTATATACCCCTACATATTGGTTGAAATAAGTTTTTTCATGTTTGCACAACTATGCAATCATTTTAAAGTTTTTGACTTTTTAAATATGTATTGGCATTTTTTAATATTCTTGTTCCAAGTCTCTGATATTATTGAAAAACCATTTTTTTTATTGAAAATATATCTAAAATATTACCTGGAAATAAATAAAAGAAAAAAATTATCTGGAAAATTGTAAATAAGTGTGTAGATTTTATGTGAATAATATTTACTTGTCTTCAAAATTACTTACGTTATTTTTGCTTATGACACTAATGTTTTCTATTTATAATAAAATTATTTAGATATATTAGCTTCATGTTTAGAAAAAAAAAAAATTCTAAACATGAAGCTAATATATCTTAATAATTTTTTTTCTATAAAACTTATTGAAAGTCCAAGAATCTTGCACTTGAATCACTTAAGTTGTTAAAATAAACAAACTGTTTCATGTCCTGCTGCCTTGAAAGATTCACTTTCTAAGCAAAGGCTAGAAGAAGTATGATTCCTGTCATCAGTACTAATAATATCAGTCATGCCTATAGTTAAATTTTTTTTTTGTTGAATTTATTTGTTTATTTTTTGTGTGTGGTTTTTATATAGTTAGAGATGCCTTTGTTTCTATTTTAGCTCACCTGTAATTTACTTTATATGTAGGTTTGTGTTCTGTCTGAACCTTTGGCACAGTGTTGGTTCACCCATAAGTTACTTTATATCAGAGGTTGAAATAGGTGTCAAACATTACCTCCCCTCAAACCATTCTTGAGATCTGTTAGAGGAGGGCAATCTATCATTGTTCATTTTTTCAGTAAAAAAAGACAACAGTTCCCCCTCAAACAAATTTCAAAAATGGTCTAGAGGTCCCAATGTCCAACACAAACTCCGACTTAAAAATCCCCTGCCTTGGGGCTCTTGGTTAAATAAAGTGTAGAGATAATGTCTCAATAAAATTACTCATCTTAGGCAGATGTTAATTGCATCCAGTTAAAATTCCCCTGCCTTGGGGCTCTTGGTTGAGTAAAGGCTAGAGATGGTGTCTAGGTAAAATTACTCATCTTGGGCAGATCTTAACTGCATCCAGCTAAAATTCCACTGCCTATAGGCTTTTGGTTAAGTTAAGGCTAGAGATGGTGTCTCAAAAAAAATACTCATCTTTGGTAAATGTTAGCTGCATCCAGCTAAAACTCCCCTGCCTTGAGGCTCTTGGTTGAGTAAAGGCTAGAGATAGTATCCCAATAAAAATACTTATCTTAGGCAGATGTTAATTGCATCCAACTACTGTCTTATAGGAGGCCGTCTAGGCAAAGACTTTAGGGATAAGCAGAATAATTCTGCTAACCAGCCTTGAACCTCTTCTTTATCTATTAGGCTGGCTTAGGTGTAAACCTGTGTTACATTGCTTCCTGCCTCGGATGATGAATGCTGGATCTTCTTGACTCTACTTGTGTTCTTGCTTGTGCCTTCTTGATAGTGGATATGCAACTATTCTTGTTATCTCCTAATTAGGGTACAGATCTAAAACTTAATTTAATGGTTCTGAGGCTGGCTGGTAGTAAGACTTCCCAAACTCTGTGATAGCCCCTCAGAGAGGCTGGTTCCTTTAAACTTAATCATGCCAAAAGTAACCCAAAATATTAAATATTAAAAACCATCCCCACCACCTAATGGTTTTGATTTATCTTTTACAAATATTCTTAGTCTGCAAAGCAACCTTCCATCAGTTAACCTTACCTTTTGCAAAAAACACCAGACTTGCTTGCTCTTAGTGAGGTTTATTTAAATTTTGCTATTCCTCCTTTAGATCTCAGTGTTGATGAGTTCTGTCCTTTGATTTACAAAGACTCCAATAGTCACATGCTTGGCTTCAGGGTATAGATACTCATCAATTTACTTAATTGTCATGAAATCAAGCTTAAATCCTTTGACCAGTCTTTTATGTGCTTCCATTTATCACCTCTTCACTCTATCACCTTTCTTTTTGTTCTCTATTGTTCTCCCACTTCCCACAACTACACTCTTTTAGATGTAATTTTAGATCAAATTGACCATTCTCTCTCTTTTTACCCCTCTGCCAATATAGTTGTTATTGTTGACTTTAATACTTATCACACTGAATTGCTTGGCTCTAATGCCACTTACTCTGCTGGCACTATAACCTCTGCATTTTTCAATCTCTTACTCAAATAGTTAAATTTGTGACTTGTTTTCCTGGCAACCTTAATCATTTACCTTCACTCCATGATTTATGTCTTGTCTCTGATCGTAGCTTATGTTCAGTTTCTCCTTTTTCTCTCTTAAGTGGTTATGACCATAAAATGATCTCTATAAATCTTACTATTTACTACTTACTATTACCCTAAAGCTGACTGAGATTTTTTCATGATTTTCTTTGTGACGGTCTTTAGCCATGATTTTCTTTAGACGGTCTTTGTTTTTTCTCTCTCAGCTGATATGATAAATCCTGATAGTCCTGATACTAGCTGATCCTAGCTTGTTTTTGGTAGTGTAGTACTGGGTATGGGCAAAAAAAAAAATACTTCAAAACCTCTCTAATTTCAACTTTTTTGGAATTCAGCAATTAGATTTGCTTCTGTAGCTAAATGTAGAAGGGCAGTAGTTTTTAAATCATTCATGGCAGGATTTAAGTCTAATAGAAAATTTTGTGTAAAAGAATAATGGCTATATTTCGAACACTAAATGATGGCTTTTTCCCAAAATGATATGGTTGGATGGTTTTTTACAGTTACACAGTTTTTATTTTGGTGCATAGATAGAGTTGACAAATATGCCATTGTATGTGTTTTTCCAGATCCAAATAGATTTTTTTTAAGAAAATCTGTATTTTCATATATTAAAGTTGTGAATTTTTATGTGCTTTATTAGTAAAACTTGTCAAACAATAGTTGTACTTGATACACAATGACCATTTGAATTTATAACAAGTAGTTAACAACTTACTGGCTTGTTGGACTGTTATACATGGTTGTGCAGATCTCTGTAGGTATTTGGTTGTCGTTTTTGTGAAACATAAATAAGATCTTGTGCTATGGAAATAATTTTGAGACATCATCAGTGCAGTCTTAATGGAATGTGATTAATTTTAAAGAGAGTAAAACTAGAGAAAACACAATTTTCTACAGTAAACAAATGTAAAACAGGAGGCTGACCTGGGTATTGCATCAACCATAGTAATTTTTAAAAACCCATCCAGTCTCATCTTGACACACTGTGGCAGCACAAAATAGTTATTAAACTTCTTATGTCTATTGACTTTAGAAACAAAATACTTATAAAAAAATCTTTTTAAAACAGCTTTTGAATACTACAATAATATTTGTTGTTAGTAACTTATTGACTTGATGCTTAATTTATGCATTACTTTTTATTTTATGCATTACTTTTTAATTTAGAAGGGGAAAAAAACTGTTTGCTATGCTTTTTTTTTATTGCTTTCAGTGACAATTGAATAAAACCAAATATACACCAACTCAAAATAAAATTAATGTTTTAAGTAGCTTAATAATTTTTACTAGTTTTATTTTATTTTGCAACGTAAATATGAAAAATATCAGCTAAATTCTAATGAAGATTTAAATTTAGTTAGTGCAGCCATGGTGCAATAAACAGCATGTGATATAAAAGGAATAACTGAGAAGTTTACATCTCTATGGCAAAATAAGTGACCAGGGGATGTGAACTTCCTAGATAAATTCTCTTTTATGGTGCTCTGTGATAAGACTGTAAGGACTTCTGGAAGTACCTTAACAACTATAATGACAAAAAATAAAAATAATTTGAATAAAATTGCAATGTGTATTTAGGGAATAATTTTTATATCATTAGTAGTTAAATTGCATTGTTAGCATATTCTAAAATTGTATTGTAATTAAATTAACTTTGAAATTGCGGTAGTGGTGTACTGGTAGAGTGCTCACTTCATAAGCGAGAGGTTCCAAATTTGATTCCCACCACGTCCCT